GCGCGCATATATTCAAACGCACATAACTATAGAATCAATTCTTAATGCGCATGTGAACGCCATCAGTGTTCAGTTTAAAGTCTGTTTAGAGAGAACGGTGTCGTCTTAGCGGCCCCTAATTTAATAACAAATGATCATTTCGACAGAAGTGAATCAATCAAAACTAACTTTAGCTGGAAAATAACATTATTCAAGAACCGCTATAAAACCCAACCAATCTCTGTTACCTTAAACTATATGTTTATCTCTGTAAAGCTGCTTTGAGGCAATCTACATTGTTAAAAGCGCTATATAAATGAGGATGACTTGAGTTGACTTGGCAATAAGAAGCATTTGATTTTTAACAACATAAATCGAGTTAAAATTAGTTTTACCATTTTAAATAAATGTGGAACCAAAAATGGATTATCAAAGCGGCATAATCTCTTGAAATACTCCGGCTCAGTGATGTGTGTCTATACTTAGATACAGAAATGATGTTATTGTGCCTCATCAGTGCTGCATCACCTCATATCTGTGTGTGTGTGTGTGTGTGTGTGTTGTAGATCCTGCAGGCTCTGGGAAAGTCGTATCATCCAGGCTGTTTCCGCTGTGTTGTGTGTAAGGAGGGTCTGGACGGCGTTCCTTTCACTGTGAGTGGAAAACAACATCTACTGTGTGAAAGACTACCACACGTGAGTCATATCTTCACTTCACCCTGTTTTATATTTCACAGCCAAGGTGTTTTTGTATAATAATTAGGGCTGTCAGTTAAACGCGTTATTAACGGCGTTAACGCAAACCCATTTTAATGGCGTACATTTTTTTATCGCGCGATTAACGGTCTTTTTGGCCTAGCAAACTTTGTAGTTTTTTTTTCACATGCTTTTGCAACAGGACGCGGCATGCGCGGCGCTGCGCTGCGCTATGAAACCATTAATTTCAATGGCTTGCGCCGCGCGAGGACGTTTTGTTGCTTCATCGACCAAAGCGGCAAGCGGATCTAGCTAGACCGAAACAAAACAACAGGCACACCGCACACTCTTGTTTGGGCTTGCGAGCCGGCCAAATAGTTGGTTTACGTTACGTTTTGAGTGGATGACGAGCGCGAGACGCCGAAATGTATCCGACAATATTGTATTGTGTACTGTTTTTGTACTGTGTTTTGTGAAAGCGTGTAGCTTTCTATGGACAAGTGTTGCAAAGGAGCAGTTTTGCTATAACACGAAAAAACAATGTATCTGGTTTGTCCAATACTGTTGTTATGTCCATATCAAATAAATAAATAAAATAAGATTCTGAATGTAAAGTTTACTTTTAAAAAGTTGCCAAATGGTCCCATTGACAAGACCAAAGTGATCTGTGTGTTTTGTCGTTGCGAACTGAGCTATCATCATCATCGCAGCACGTCCAGTCTGAAATACCACTTGATGATGGCCAAGCAGCACACACACACACACACACACACACAGCTGATGCGAATTCTCCGCCCCCTCGTCAATATCAGGACCTCTCAGTGTTTCTTTCACCCTTTTATTGATGGACAGTGTTACATTGTGTGAGAGATTATTTGCTCCAAGTGAGAATGCTAGTGTGAAATTGAACACAGTATATGCCAATGTTGTTTTCAATAAAAAACATTTGCACAAAGCAAGCCGATCCACTTTTCCATGTTGATAAGAGCATTAAAATGAGAAAAAATAACGGGACAAAAAGAAATCAAGAGACATTTAGAATAGATAAAAATGTGCAATTAATCGTGAGTTAACTATGACATTAATGCGATTAATCGCGATTAAATATTTTAACCGTTTGACAGCACTAATAATAATGAATATTCATAACATCTAGCGTTATTATAAAGTGCAACAGTCGGGTTCCGGAAGTAAAAACTCCATTCATGTTCTCCATAGAGAAATCGATTTTGAGCAATAATTTCTTAACTGTTTCTTCTCAAATCAATATTTCATGTGGTGAAAAGTATTACAATATTACATCTTTGTTTTAACTTGTTCCTTCGTCTAGGCTCAAAGCTGCTTGCTAGAAACTGTTTTTCTTAGTGGAAGATCAATTCAACATTTCATGTCTATTTGTTTACTTATGTTCCATAAGCAAGATATTGTACATCCAGCCTCAAAATAAGGAGTCCTGATCATCCTGTCGGGATTTATTTTGCGATAACATATGTGGTTTTATGTGTCTTCATCTTCACAGGGTTTTTGCTCCTAAATGTGCCTCGTGTAACCAGCCGATCCTCCCAGCACAGGTACAAGAGTTTGAATACAGTAACACTGACTGAGGATTGAGGTCACGCTTCAGGACAGAGGTTAACTATCTGTGTGTGTGTGTAGGGTTCAAGAGGAGACCGTACGGGTGGTGTCCATGGATAAAGATTACCACGTGGAATGCTATCACTGTGAGGTAATTCAGACTCGTTCATAGTCAGTGGTTATTGCTGTGAACTACAGACTATTAGGGGTGTAAACGGTTCACAAAATTCACGGTTCGGTTCGATACGATACAGTGGTGACACGGTTCGGCATGTTTTCGATACAGCAAAAAGAAAGAAATGCCAGAGAATTTTTTTTTACATTTTTATTTATTTACTAAAACTAACATCATAACGTGATTTTAAATGTTTTATTTATTTATTAAAACTAGCATCATATGATCTTTTTTTAATTTGAGCAATGATGGAGTTATACTTGACTCTTCTTAGGAGCATATAAAACAAAACCAGCTCCTTATAAAAAAGATTAAATGTAATATTTTAGTAGTTATAAACAAAGTTTTATTTTAAGTTTGCAAGGCTCCAGATTAACATTTGAGGGCTGCAATTTTATTCATAATGTCGAAATTAATAACTGTGAATGCTTCTCACTAGATCTCGCAGCGATGTTATTACTTCTGTGGTGACCTCAAATGCTTCTTTACTGGATCTCTCAGCGCAGTGTATAACAGTGTCGCTTGATGAAGACCGGCTCGCGCTGCACTGCCATTGGTCCAAACTCATAACGGTCCGTTAAGCACAAATGAGTTGCGCAGTTTCGTTCCGCTTTCATCACGTTTGCCATTTGATGTTGGGCAGCGGTGTGGTGGTCTAGTCGCGCCAGCGCGAATGCTAAAAAAATGTTGGTCGGACTCGGCAGTAAAAATGGTCCAACGAATCGTTCGGTTTGAAGTGCGTACCTGAACCGAAAGCCTCGTACCGAACGGTTCAATACGAAGACGTGTACGTTACACCCCTACAGACTACAGGTTCAGTCCCTGTCCTGTCACCGTTGTGAAGCTGGTTTGACTTCATGCTATATCATGCCAGACGCTGGTGTACTGTGATTCGCTAACTAGGGTCATGTTTACACTCCTGGACAATGCTCTGGAGTTATGTAAGATGTGTTTTGTTTGTATTAGGCCTCGGCTCGGTATAAATGTGCATTAATATTGTGAATCATTGACTGATGACATTCAGCTAAACTTTGAATCTGTGAGGTAAAGTGTTCACTTAAACACATTTCTCAAAGAGTCAAACATCTCGGACTTATTCATTATGAAATCTCAGTTTTTCTGCTAAAGAAAGCAATTTTTGTGCTCCAGTATTATCTTAATATTTTATTAACATATCATTTTAGTAATATTTTGAATGATATTCAAGTAGTTTTCTGAATTTAGCAACCAAAAAAAAACTTTGTCAATGAGCAGTTGATTATTATATACATTAATATAATATATTTTTGAATGATTAAAATTTATATTATATAAAATAAATATAATATAGGCCCTATATTTAATATTTAAAAAATAAACAGTGTATATATCTAATTATAATGAATGATTGTTATATATATTGTTATATTTATTTACCAGAAATATATATTTTTATTCAAATTTAATATAATTATTTGTATTAGTAAAATTAATATTAAATATATTAAACAATATAAATGTAATATTACTTTTGTTAATAATAATAATAAAAAATAATTACTTATAGTGTGTGGGTGTGTGTGTGTGTGTGTGCTTATATTCAATTGATTACTTTTACATCACTTATATTTTCCTTATCACGAAAATATGTCGTTCAATTCTAAATTTAAACAAAATTGTCACGTGACAGGGTTGAGATTGGGTTAATGGGTTGAAGGCCTTGTCAAAACATTGAATCCATATTTGTTTTTCATGGTCATTTATTTACAATCCAAACCGCAGTTCTGGATTTCTTCCTCTTGCTCTGGATTTCCCCAATTGGCTTGCAGAAGGAAACGAATTTCCATCTAAAAAGGAAGCGTTGTTCATTAAATGATTTACAGTGTATGTCCTTATTTACACTGATGATGATGATGATGATGATTCACTGTATTCTGATGCATGAAAAGGCTTTTTATTGGGCCTGACTTCCTTTCTATCAAACATGCTAAGACAATAACATGTGTCTTGCAGGATTGTGGTCTTCAGTTGAATGATGAAGAGGGGCATCGCTGTTACCCGCTGGAGGGGCACCTGCTGTGCCACCGATGCCATCTGCACCGCTTAAAGACCCCTGTACCGACACACCCGCCCCCGAGCTACCCGCTACACGTCACTGAGCTGTGAACACACACGGACTCGCGCTGAAGAAGAGAGTGGTGTAACGACAAGCAAGAGGGTTATTGCATTCCCCCAAACAATAAACAGGGAAATCGGTCTACATATTTCCACTTGTTTGGGGTTTATATGACCAACCAGGGAGGCTTTTATTATTACTTTCATCCCTCATCACCTTCTTCCTCTCACGATCCGGTCTGGTTCACTGTATGGAGGGGTTCGGGACCCAGAATGAGGTCTTCAGCACTGCCGCATGGGACGTTTCCCCTGAATGCCAGACAACAGCACTGAACACACACAGACTGAGATTACGACTTCTTGTGCCTTCATCGAGTATCCCATCACCTCGCTCACTGCCTTCGACATGCACCATTTCTGTTTGCGTGTATGTGTGTGTTGTGCCGCTGTTTGTGCCAAGCTGCCCGGGTCTTTAAAGGAACACGGCGACTTTTTGGGACTTTAGCTTATTCACCGTATCCCCCAGAGTTAGATAAGTCCATACATACCTTTTTCATCTCCATGCGTGCTGTAACTCTATCTGACGCACCCAGGGCCGCATTAAGAGCTCACTGGGCCCCGGGGCTATGAGTTACTGCAGGCTCCCCCACCACTACAGGCCACCAACTACATGAGCTAAATGTTCTATCATTATACGAGTCATTTTATCCATCTATGATATTACTTCACAGTTAAGTTATATTACTTTTAAAACGATTTTTTTTCATATCAAAATTTAATGGGACTAACATTTCATAATTCTTGTGACCAATTTCAATAATAGTAACTTAAGAAAAGAATCTCAAGCTTACCGATGACAAGAGTCACAAATAACAATAGAACAAAGGCACATAAGAAATCGACCTTGAAAAATTTAAAGCACTGAATAATATTATATTGTATAAAGTAATCAAATATACAAAACATAGTTTTCACTATAAATTCAACATTCATTCTTATTAATTTTACAAAAGTGATTCATTCAAGGGCAGTACATTTCTTTCTTTCTGATGTTTGATTAACATTATGGACACAAATGGCGACAGCAGCTTTATTAGCAGCTACTGTCACTTTAAGACCTCAGGGTTGGAACTCAAGTGCGCTGTGCAAAACCGCCTCAAGTTCACCATCATTTAAAATAATTTGTATCCAAACCACAATGATTAAAAACACGTTTAATTTATAAACTTACATCATGATGTCTCAGCAAAATTTACATATTTCTACCGGATATATTATCGCCAGCCCTTTAGGCGAATATAGAGTTTGATCAAACACAAAAAGCAAGATCAAACATCCATCAAGTTAATAATCAAACTTACCGAAAATTTGTGGGGTCGACGATGACGCTGTGTTTTAAAAAATAGTCTAGACTCTAAAATGAAGTGAAGGGTGGAGGCGATTTATTGGTTGATGCATGCGTAGCTATATTCTAATAAGGCGCAGGCACTCCAGGCAGCCATCTATCTATAGGCCTATGTGCAGCAGCAGGTCAGGTCGATCGTTCACAAGTTAAATATAGAATAAATGTATTATGTTAAATTAAAACGTGACGTTTCATTTCACCATGCCCTGTCCTGGTGCCCACGGGGGTTTGATTGACAGGCGACCTGGCCAATCATAACGCCGAATACGCAATTTTGTCAGACAACAAAGCTGTCAGTAGATTAACGTCGGTGGACTTGAACTTGAAAACGGTATGGTTTAAATTATTTAAATTACAATATTTGAAAGTTGAGACTTTGTTTCATATCAACAGTAAGCTGCTCTGAACTCTCTCTCGTAGTCAATTGTGTAACGTTAGTCTTTGCCCCGCGATGTATTTTTCAGTGCGTGAGTGAGAACATGATGTGCGTGACTCGTGAGAGCCGCCTGGCTTGTCACACAGTAACTAAAAAAGGCGGGTCTTTGCGAACGGTGACTATAATATTAATGATAATGATTCCATGATAATGCATGGAATATTCGGCAAAGCGCTACTAAATAACAGGGCTAATTTGTGGGGGGCGTTGCGTGGTAAGGCTTTGGCAATCAGATGGCTAGTATCTGCTCCACAGCCAATCAAGGGCCCCCTCCTTGTTCGGGCCCCGGGGCTTTAGCCCCGCCTAGCCCTATTGTTAATGCGGCCGTGGACGCACCCACCGCTAGCCTAGCTTAGCACAAAGACTGGATGTAAATGGCTCCAGCTAGCATACTAATCCAAATAAATGACGAAAAAAGCAAACATTTTCCAATTTACATGTTGTGATTTGTATAGTCACAGAGTGTACAAATAACAATCTTCATGGTATTACCTGGTCTCCCCTGTTCATTGTCGCAGCTCTTTACAATACAGCGAACACCCATGATTGTAAACTATGCTTTTCTATCTAGTAATTGCTGACTCTATTACTCCAACTCTGAACGAACTCTCTGCTCCTCACCACGGCGCGTCTCGGGTGCTGGGGTAATCACTCCGCCCAAGTAGCAGTGCTTCGCCTTCTGAGAATATAGTTCCCAGTATTTATACGGTTAAAAGATGGCTGTGTCTCATATGACCTTGTTATTTGTGCACTCTGTGACTATACAAATCACAACATGTAAATAGGAAAATGTTTGCGTTATTTTGTCACTTCTTGGGAATAGTATGCTAGCTGGAGCCATTTACATCCAGTCTTTGTGCTAAGCTAGGCTAGCGGTGGGTGCGTCAGATAGAGTTACAGCATGCACGAGGATGAAAAAGGTATGGACTTATCTAACTCTGGGGGATACGGTGAATAAGCTAAAGTCCCAAAAAGTCGGAGTGTTCCTTTAAAGGGACAGTTCACTAAAATTGAAAAATTGCATTGATCATTTATTCACCCTCATGTTGCTTCAAACCAGTATGACTTTTATTTATTGAAATGCCTTTTTAAGCCAAGACACTTCTGGCAAAACCATTGTTTTTCATGCACTGGTTAATTTTGAGGCTCTTTTGTGTCCATAACATGTTTTTATATTCAGACTGGTTGAAAGAAAACATCCAAAATACAGTTTTTATGTTATTACACTTTTCCATTTGTGTCTATAGATTTCAGTTACAACGCATATATTTAAAGGCTCAAATTGAGACAATGACTAAATAACAAGAAATTTGAACCAATGTTCAGATTTCTGTTCTGGAAATGTATGCATATTTAATTAGATAATGCCTTATTTGCATATTCAAACAACTTTTCATAAAACGTATAATTCAGAACTATTGTTTCAGATTACTGTGATTAATCAGCTGGGGGATTATAGTGATATCTGTTAGCTGATATTTTACCCTATTAACCTGAGGTGTCTTGTACAGTTGTATGACGTGAGCGTGAGTGAATAATAGTGAACTGTCCCTTTAAGCATCAATTAAATGCCTAAACTAGTGGCGCCAGTGGGATGAACACTGATGCATTAATTTGGTGGTATTATCTTCTTGTGAAACCTGCTGAATATAGCAGGACTAACAAATGTATATTTTGCAGAAGTCTGACTTTTAATCTCTCTGGCCGGAGTCAGAGAGGCCGTTACGACCCGACACCAGCACAACTGGGTTGGATCTGTGAACTCTTACGTCGTGCTCTTCAGACACTGGTTTGTCTCCGGATGAGGTGCCTTTCTGCCTTACATATTCCTTAACGTGGAGGAGACACACTGTAACGTGTCTCTCGAGACTCTGATGTGCGCCGGGGTCAAAGGTCAAGCCTGGATTGTGCTGGACTCAACCAGGCCTGCCAGAGATTACCTGCATTTGTCCTGCAGTCAATGTGTGTGTGTGTGTGTGTGTGTGTGACCCGCTGTCCAAACCAGCCGCGATGCAATCAAGCCTTGACCAACAGAACATTTTGCACATGTCAGAATAATAAAGTCATGAATGCGTAGAAGTCTGGGAATGATGTAATGATCAAAATTAAATGAAAGCTCTCTTATTTTTTTTACTAGATTCACATGAATGAAAATTAGAAGCTTATTGCATTGCATCTGGTTAGGACGTGTTGTGAGTGTGTTCGTCTGTGTGTGTAGTTGTGTATATGTTCATGCACACTAGTGGCTGGGCCGCTGTGTGTGTGTTCCATATACAGTGACCCTGATAAGTATTTACACACTTAAAAACATCTGAATGTCATTGCATTACACTCTTAGGAAAACAAAGTTCTTCTTGATTCAGCTTTAAAGAACCCTTTATGCCAAAATGATTGCATAATACTTGCGTATAATGGGTTATTTAAAAAAAAAAAATTCTAGTGGCATGTTTACGAGCTGTTTAATTCATAAATTAAATGAAAACAAAAATAAATGAACTAAAACCAAACCCATAAAATGATGGAACCGCTAAAAGGTTCTATAAACTGTATGAAGTGCCTGACGGAATCTTTAAGGTTCCATTTAGAACCTTTTCTTCTAAGAGTGTGAATCAAATATCAATGCGAGTGTCATTTATTATACAAAAAGTGGTTTGAAATGCTGAAACGATAGATAGTCACAGAAATCACCAGCTGATTAAAAACCCCTGAGCCTTCAAACACGAAGAAGAACGGATCCTGAGGTGTTCGAGCTAACGCTAACGTGTGTTCAGAGTGTTTGAAGCGTCGAAATGCTTGTCAGGGCCGCTGTACACACTTCTGTCTGCTGTGATACTACTGACCTGAGAACATCTGATACAGAGCGTTGTTTTTTAAAGCTTCTGATGTACTCATGTGAAGATGTGTGTTTGCTGACCGCTCGCATCTCGTCATCCTATGACCGGCTTTTCCCGCAGATTTAGCTAAAGCAATATTGTGGATTAATGCCGTCGACTCCCAGAGAAAATCAAATCGTTGTTTTATTTGACCAGCTGATGTATTTTCTATGGTAGTCGACAGCATGAATATTCAGTGTAACGACAGAACATTCCTTTAAACGGTTCAGTGACCCTTATTTTCCCGTTTTCAGATCATTCCCACCAGTGTGTTTTTTTTTTAAAGTGTGTAATATTTTTCTCCACGTTGTCTTAATCCACTTTTAAAACGTACTACTATTGTATAGCACAACGTTAGAGTCCCTGTAAATAAACAGTAGAATGTATTTCCTGAATTTATCGGAGAATCCATGAACCGTAGCTTTCCTTCAGTTAGTTCGTAAAAAATGCACATCTTACGTTCTGTTGCATCACTTTTTTATCGTACAATGTTTTGCTTTCCTAGATATTTCATAAATAAAGAAAAAGCAAAGTAGATTTATTTATCTAAACGTGAAAAGTTTAAAGTTATTTAATGTATGAAAAGTCGGGGCGTATCATTTAACCGTAGATTTATGTAATCTGCTTTTTCAATAAAGTGTTTTTTTTTTTAGTTAACTTAAACTGTGTGATTTATGAAGTTATTTGTGTGGATCAAAACTACATCTCATTCACACTCACTTTCATTTAGAGTTCTTTTGAATGATATTTTAATAACACAATAAAATA